ACTAATCACATATCCTTTAGTTCAGGGCATCTTAAATTTAATGTGCATGTGAATCACCTAGACATTTTATTCAAATGCAAATTGATTCAGTAGATACGATGACCTGATAATCTGTAGTTCAAAAAGCTCCTGGTTGGGGCACCTGGGTGGTGCAGTCGGTTGAGCAGTTGACTGTCTGACTCTTGTTTTCCACTCAGGTGGTGATCTCAGGGTCTTGGGATCAAGCCCCATGTCATGCTCAGCGATCAGTGTGGAGTCTGCTTGAGATTCTTTCTCCCTCTCCCTCTGCCCCTCCCACTCATGGTCTCTACCTAAAATAAATAAATAAATAAATCTTAAAAAAAAAAAAAGCTCCTGCTTGATGCCAATGCTGTTGATCCAAGGACTATATTCTTTGAATTACAAGGGGTAGTTTTTGGAAACTTAAAAAAAAAAAGTATGGGGGAACCCTCCTACACTGTTGGTGGGAATGCAAGCTGGTGCAGCCACTCTGGAAAACAGTATGGAAGTCCCTCAAAAAGTTGAAAATAGAACTACCCTATGACTAGGCAATTGCATTACTGGGTACATACCCCAAAGATACAAATGTAGTTGATCCAAAGGGGCACCTGCACCCCAATGTTTATAGCAGCAATGTTAACAATAGTCAAACTATGGAAAGAGCCCAGATGTCCACCGACAGATGAATTGATAAAGAACATACGGTATGTGTGTGTGTGTGTGTGTATGTATATGTATATACATACACACACACACACATACCTATATATATAATGGAATACTATGCAGCCATCAGAAAATGAAATCTTACCACTTGCAACAATGTGGATGGAACTAAAGGGTATTATGCTAAGCGAAATAAGTCAATCAGAGAAAGACAATTATCATATGATCTCACTGATTTGTGGAATTTAAGAAACAAGGCAGAGGACCATAGGGGAAGAGAGGAAAAAATGAAACAAGATGAAACCAGAGAGGGAGACAAACCATTAAGAGACTCTTTTTTTTTTTTTTTAAGATTTTATTTATTTATTTGACAGAGAGAGACACAGCGAGAGAGGGAACACAAGCAGGGGGAGTGGGAGGGGGAGAAGCAGGCTCCCCGCTGAGCAGGGAACCCGACACGGGGCTCGATCCCAGGACCCTGGGATCATGACCTGAGCCGAAGGCAGACACCCAACAACTGAGCCACCCAGGCACCCCAAGAGACTCTTAATCATAGGAAACAAACTGAGGGTTGCTGGAGGGGAGGAGGGTGGAGGGATGGGGTAACTGGGTGATGGACACTGAGGAGGGTATGTGTTATAATGAGCACTGGGTATTATATAAGACTGATGACCCACAGACCTGTACCCCTGAAACAAATAATACATTATATGTTAATTTTTTTTTAAAAAAAGTATGTTGTCTGTCCACCTGAACAGAAAGATCTTAAAAGACAGATACTACATCTTCTTTTTCTTAGCATATACACCCTATACTGAGAAGGTGCTCAATAACCACCTGTGGATTTACCATATCTACAGTCCCTAGAACACCTAGATAATCTCTAGAATGTCTGTGCTATGCTGATTTTCAAATCAAACACTGAGACATGCTAAGATGAAAAAGCTCACTTGGTCACTGGAATTGGAATTGCTGGAAATGGAGGCAGGGGAAAATCTGAGAGAAAACTTACCTCTTCACCAGTGAGAGTGTAATATGCAGAAAGAACAACATACAAATGGACATTTGTTCCTTGTTTAAGCACAAAGATAATTAGAGTTCAGTCTTAACTGCACTTAAAATTTAGGTATGAACCTTAAAAGAAGACACGCATTTTCAGGCAAAAAATATATATATTTAAAACACTAGTAACAATTACTAATAAGGAATATAATAAGCTTGATTTCATTTTTTAGTGGAGCAGATCCATTTTTTTCAATGATTCTTTAGTGTGCAATTAATCTAAAGATCTCAAGTAACCAATGAAAACACATTTCAAGCAAAAGACAGAAACACCCTCCAATCTTCCCATCAACTTAGTTCGTAGGAAAGTCCCCAAATTCCATTGCCCACAATTACACTGATAAAAATTTGAATGAATCTGCTGCATATTAAGTCTGCTCTGAGAAGCTGCCTACTTTAAGCCCTTTTTAAAATCTCTAATCATTTAAATGCTTCTTAAAACCCTCTTTATTTTAGCATTCTATAATTCAAATGGGACCAATATTCTTAAATTCTACTGGGAAGCTACACTCTGACTTCCTATTCAAGCATCAAGAAGATAATATGGGGCATATATGACACCTGCTCACTGAATGCTATCTAGATAGCTTAAACAGTGAGACAAATTTACTAAAATTTGCTGTTATAGGAAAAAGCACCTTTTTAAGTCACTATGCTTGTCATAAGCAGACACCTGCTCCTTAACTTATAGAGAACTTTCAATAAAACCATTCAACAATATTTAACTGAGATGTTTTTAACAAATTCAGGCAAGAAAGAAGACAAAATCTGCAATCCTGAGAATTGCTGTTAAGCACAGAAACAGAGAAGTGTCAAATGCTGTCAAGCACTAGACTCAAACTGGGTTTGTGAGTTTTAATAAATCAATGTTATTACTTCAGAGAAAATCAGAAAACAGTTGGGAGTCAGCCCAAAGTGGCTACTATTACTTCCATCAGAAATCTAGTCCCCAGAGCAAGGCAAATTCTCTGGCTCATGCCAGGCAGGCAGTCTTTCCTAAAGAAAAATACTATCCAAAAGGAGTTTTGAATCCTAAGCTACTGAAGCAGTTAGTGCTAAACACAAATCTACAGCAGCCACATCATACCCATACAAATGAGTATCTTCCTACCTTTGGGTACCTAACTGGTAATTAAACCCAAAACAAATGCCTTCAACAGGATAGGAGATCAGGACAAGGTACAGGAGTGTCAGATTCTTGCATAAAAAAATGAAGCACCAGTATCATTCCCATTTCTCCCCTCCTTTTCCTGGCCTTTCTTCAAGACTCATCTTTTACAAAGCTTTCTCCAGTAACTCTGGCTCTCATAATCACCCTGTTTATTGAATGCCTAAAACACGAGTCTGAAATAATTGTAGAATCATTTTTGTTAACTGTTTCATGTCTCCATTTTGTCTCCCAAATTTCAGTGTGAGTTCTTGGTAAGGCCCCTACACTGCCTACCCTGTAGAGGGAGCCTATTATTAATACTGCCAATAATACAATAATCGTGAGGCAACACAGCACAGTGGAATGGCAATACTGGAGTCAAATGGGTCTAAGTTCAAATCCTAGATCAACTGTTTGCTGGCTGTATGACTGGGAACACATTACTCACTTTTTGTAAGCCTGTTTTGTGTTTAGAATTTAATGAGATATATGTTAGAGCACCTAGTACAGGGTTTGACATATCACAGACGCTCAATAAAACTTACCTACCTACCTTTCTCGCTTAATCAGCACTTTTTGATTTGAACTAAGAATAATCCTCCTAGGGAACTACCAATGGGACCATCATATACCCTTATATTTTCCTCATACACTCTTGCTGGTGCCTCTGTTATTTCCTAACAAAGATCCCTTAAGATTTTCTACTCCATTGTTCTGAGAAAAGGCAACTACACAAGTCACCCAAATGACTATTCAGAATGGTCATATTAGGTGCCAGCAGGAGTGCCTCTCCACATCTACATCTCACTTCCATTACAGCCACACCAGCACTCCCTCCCTCCAAGTCTCCCAGTGAGAAAATGATAGAGAAAAGCAGTAAAGCAGCCAAAAGAGGAAAAGGAGATAAACAGCTCTGTGGTCCCTCAATGCCTCACTCTTGGGAGGAAGCACTTGGTCCGGTCTCTAACCTCAACCCTTGTGAGAAAGAAAAAAATAAAACCCTTCCTGTATTTCTGAAGAAGAAGCAACCCAGATTCCTTGCCTCTTCATTTTTTCAAGCCCTTCACCAGTCAATTCTTCCAACACCACCCACCCCAACCATCTCCTGGGCCAAATTCCTGCTACATAAAATAGAACTTCTTTAGATTTGTCTTGAATGAACCCCATTCATGCTTTTACCAACTTGAGGTAACATTTTCCCCCAGCCTTCACCATTCTAAGTTGGAATATCCCTTAGAAAAAAGAAAGAAAAGAAAAAATAAAAGAAAGATTGATTCTTGAAATTGCTGTCTACTGCATTAAGGTAAATCTTTTTATTTGTTTGTGCCCCTTTAATGATCCAGAATATTTTATCTCAGTCATCATCTTTCCAGCTGGAAAAAAACACCATCATTTTCACAAACCCCCCCACCCCGCCACACACACACACACTCTTTTTTTTACTAAAACAAAAACAAATTTAAAAATCCACAAATACCCTCCCTGCTGTACAAAATACAAGAATTTTATTATTCTTAAACCGACTACAGCCATGCTCCACTGGAACAAGCTCAGGTACACCTGGGCTCTCACATCCGTGCTTTGGCCAACGTGGATGTCAATACTGATACAAGCCTTCATCCAGCCAGGTGAAAACTCCCTCCATCACCCTCTCCCCGCAAAACACCCATTTCCACCGCAAATTCACTCCGTGCCTCACGATGTAGAATCTTTTTTATTGGCTTTAAATGTTTCACCTGAGCTTCTACGTGTCTAGGCTGATAGTCGGTTCCTTCGGCCCCCCCTTCAAAACAAAAAACAAAAAACAAAACTCTGGTTTGTTGTGGTTTTTTTAAGATTCTTCCCTGTTGCATAAAGTAGCTCCTTGTTTTATGTGTCGTGAGGGATTTGAAAGAATCCAGGCAATATTTCGCCTCAGGATTCACCTTTCCCCCCCCCCCCGCCCCCGCCCCAGCACACACAACGCTCAACATCCCCCCATCTCCCCACTGCGGGACCATGCAGACCCTCCTTCTCAGCGGTCAGAAAGGATTCCTAGGCGCCCGGGATCACCTTCCCCGCGGCCTCCAGCTGCCCGGCAGGCCCCGGGAACCCCCAGCGGCGGCGGCGGCTGGGCACCTACCAGTCGGTGTGCGGCTCGTCGACGACCAGCAGCACCTTGGCCTTCCTGGCGGCGGCGGGCGCGGGCGCGTCCACCAGGCCGGCCGAGGCGGCAGTCTGCTTCACGGCTTGGGACAGCGAGCTGAAGAAGCTGCTGCCCACCGACGGCGCCGCGGCAGCCTGCGGCGCGGG